TCCGGGACCACTGACCAGTTGAGGCCCTTTCCATTGAAATAAGGCTGCCCCAGCAAAGCCAGCTTCCAACACAGCCAGGCACCTTCACGGATTTCCCAGTAAAGACAAGAACTTTGCACAATCAGGACAACCTGAATAGATAGAACTATTCACTCTCATGAGCTAAAAAGTACTGGGAGGCAGAATTTAGCAGTGAAGGTCTTAGGTTTTAGCGCTTGTTTGGCTTAGGAAGCATCGCCCATAACCTGGAATGTGGTAACAGGCAGCCACTATGCACAGCAACACTTAAGCAAGGAAGGAAGAAAACCACAGACACTCAGGAGGATTCACCTCTGCCCTTCCCAGCATGTGGCTGGACTTCAGTAAAACCCAAGTAATGAATTCACAGCTTCGCAGGGTCAAGCTTCAACCTTACAGATGATGTTGATACTTCTCCATCTTTGGCCTGGAATCATCCAGACAACAGTGGGAGGAAGAAGAGTTTCCATCCTCAGTGGACCCACTCTGCCAACTGAGAGCTAGAACGGGTCTGGGTGGCAATGTTTCTTAACAGCGATGATGGCGACAAGGACAAAGAAAATATCAGAGAGGTATTTCAAAATCCTAACATTCTTGGGCTCGCTGGGAACTGCCATTGCATAATGCTAAGGAGGAGGGGTAGGGGCGGTCCTCAGACAATAAATTCCTCATGAAGTGGGCGCCATCTTTGTGCCTGAAGAGAAAACCAGGCATCGATGCATTCTCCCACACTTCACCCAGCACTGCAAACAAAAAAAAGTAGCCCACCTGGTGCTGGAGAACAGGCCCACCAAAGGCCGCCATGCCCAGTGGAAAAGGCAAGTCTGGTGCTCAGCCAGGTGAGCAGAGGGAGTGTGGAAATGGCTGGCCAAGTAGAAGAGGACCACTGGGGGTCAAGGACCTCCAGCAGGAGGGAGGGAGTGGCCCATGGTCCAGTGCACATGGTCTAGTGCCATGGGGAGGTGGTGGATCACCAAGGAGCTCATCCTCTTTGGACCTGCTACAGGATTGTGGGGAGGGGAGCTCACTCCTGAGAGTTAGTCATGCCAAGTGGGGCTACAGGGTACAAATCAAGGAGGCTCTGTCACAGTGTAGGCAAAAGGTAGAGTGGAGGAAGGCAGACTGAAGCAACACCCATGTTCCCGACATGTGAGCCAGGGGGACAAGTGCTTCCTAGCCCAATGCCTGGAAGTGCTTCCTAGCCCAACAACCGGCTGGAAGTGAGGAAGATGCTCAGATACTCAACTGCTCTGGATGGGTGCAACCAAGAGTGCAGAAAGCTCTTGTCTAGGCCGGAGATGGTATCTGGAAGCTAAAAGAGGACAATAAGGCCCCGAAGGACCCACAAATGCAATGGGAATGAGGAAAATAGAACTCTGGTCATGAGGTGAATGCAATGTTCATGTCAGGAAGTGCAACTTTGGGGAAATGATGAAGGCACCAAGGTGAAGCCTTTGGGAATGAGATTAGTGCCCTTATGTTAGAGAGAGCTGCTGCCCCTTTCACCGCGTGCAAACAAAGCAAAATGGCACTACGAGCCACAAAGCAGACTCTCTCCAGACACTGAAATCCATCCGCACCTTGATCTTGAACTTCCAGCCTCCAGAAATACGAGAAACAAATCTGTTGTTTATAAGCCACTCTGTTTCTGGTGTTTTGTTACAACCAGCCCAAATGGACAAAGACCACCAGCCAGTAAACTCTAGACTGAGGAACAGAGGGTAACAGAGAAGACCAGAGAGGGGGGACTGACCACCCCAGACAGGAGGGCCCTAACACTGCGTCCTTGCCAAAGTGAAAAGGCCACATCAACTTATTTCAGAGTCTCTTGCTCTTGAGGATCAACTCAGGCCTGCATGAAATCTCAAGTCAAAAGCAACCAGAAACACAGAGGTGTGCAAATAAGCCACCAAGTGGCCACTTCTTTAACAGGCTGCCTACCGTACTGCCACCCACCAAGAGTCAAGATTTAGAAGAGTGTAGAGTGTCAAGTAATAGCTGTACATCAGCACTAAACAATTGAGTGTTTCTCCGTGACATCAACAACTTCACACTTGTACTTGACGTTTCTCTCCAGATAAGTCTCTTTGCTTTTACGGCCGTCCAGCATAAGAACTGAATGGAATTCTTCAAATGGCCATCTACCACTTAGGGAGAACTCGAGGTAGGCATTTTGTCTGGACTCAGTGCCCTTCTGGCTCCCTGGATGATTACCAAGGGTTCTGGCTGGAGAGGTAAGGACATGGCAACATTACAGAGGCCAGTGGGCCAGCCAGAGAATGGGGGGGAGAAACTCCAGACTCAAAGAAAACCTCTACAATGGTATTCCCTGGCAGACACACATGCAAATCATTTGTAATTTCAAATGTTCTGTTAGCTACATCCAGAGTAAAAAGGAGCAGGTGAACAATTCCATAACACAATTTTCCCTAGTCTAGTGTATCCCACACATTTGTATTTCAACATGGAATTCATAGAAGAGATTATTCACGAGCTCTTTTGCTGGATTTTTCTCCTTCTCCTTCCAATGAATCCTGTATGTGTTTTACATTTAAAGCAGGTCTCACTCAGACGGTCCACAGATCAAGTACTCAGGTAGGTTAAGTGCATATGGCTTGTGGCCACCATCGCTGCACAGGTCTAAAGGAAACCAAGTGAAAGGAACACAGTCCAACTCAAGTAGAAACTTCTAAGAAATTGTGACAGTGCCTGAGTTTTCCTGACAAGATAAAGAGAGGACAATTCCCCTGAATGGTTTTTCTTTATCAATCTTAAACAAGTGCTTCATTGTGAAATCACAAAACACATCAGCAGGATTGGGCCAGCTGGTGGGGGGTGGGGGGGCTGCAGGGCGTGACCAGCATCTAGTCCACAGCTGCACCAGCATTAGGGCTGGCTCAAACCGTCACTACTCTTTCATGTGCCTTTTCTCTTTGTACTTTCAATCTTCCAACAGCCCTGTGAGGAAGGAAGGATCAATTCCATCCCACAGATTAAAAAACAAAACAAAGAAAAAACCTGATGTCCTGGCAATTTAAATTACTTGCTCATCTCTGTTCACTGCTCTTAGACTTGGGCCAAGAATTCAAGCCTCAACCCTACCCCAGGCTTCCTCAGCAAGCAGATGTCAGAAACAGACAAAAAGCCACAATGAGTCCAACACATCTGTGAGTCACTAACAGGTGCCTATCTAATAGCACTGCCCATTCCTAAACACTTACATCCTTACGTTTAATCACCAGGAAAGAATAATGTAACTGCTCTAGGACCATGCCCAAGTACCACCCAGAAAAACTGGCCCGTCCAAGGTCACCTGGGACAATCATCTCTGCGTTCAACACCTCTCTCTCCTACCCCACACTCACTCCCTCGATAACTACTTTTACTTTTAAATTTTAAATACCAAGGCCTCTTTTCAGATATATTTTGTTATTTTATCCAACTGCAAATGAAGTCAAGGAGAGGGTACAGTTTTTAATCAATCAGAAAAGAACCCTCCTCCAGCACTAGCCTTACAGTGGTCCTTACAGTGGCCCCATGGTGTTCTTGGCAATTTGAGGTGGGAACCTGGCCCTACTAATCAAACTGTTACACACACACACACACACACACACACACACACACACACACACACACACACACACACACACACACACACACACACACACACACACACACACACACACAGAGATCAAATGCATGAAGGTATGTAATATCTCAGAGGATGCACCTCCTCTCCTCCTGGGCTCTGGTCAGTGGAAAGCTCAAACAACCACTATCTATGGGGTCTGGCCTATCTTTATTTTATACAATGTACTATTTCAGCATGCTTACCAATTGAGGACTTCTTTGCGACTAGCTAGAGTACATGGGCTGTGGGTCTTTCACTAGGCCAACCACTAAATAATAAGTACTTACAGCTAACACACTGAGGAAAATCAGTGAAGAGAACCTTTCTAGCCACTGAATCTAAACACTGGTGAACATATAAGACAAAAAAATAAAATAAAATAAATTTAATTTTAAAAAAAGACAAAGGTGCCCGATGTTGGTAGCTCACAGCTACTCAGGAGGCTAAGCCAGTCCAGGCAAGAAAGCTTGAGACTCTTATATCCAATTAACTACCAAAAAGCCAGAAGTAGAACTGTGGCTCAAGTGGTAAAGTGTCAGCCTTGAATATTAAAAAAAAAAAAAAAAAACCCTCAAGGACAGTGCCCAGGCCCTGAGTTCAAGCCTCAAGACCAATACAATAAGTAAATAATAAATTAATTATTTAAATGAAAATGCACCCTCTTACACAGCTATCTGCAAGCACGTCTTGAACAAGTCTGAACCACAAACTCCTGCAAACCCATCCAGAACTTGCTTGCCTCAGCTAGGAGGAGTTCTAATCATAAGCCAGAACACTCACGCACTCCTGTGAATGCTTAAGACCAAGGACCACTTACAAAGAACGTGAGTAAGCTCTTTATTTTTCCTTTATTAAACTATATTCATGCTAACGAAGTCTTGCTATACAAAAAAAAAAAAAAATCGCTTCTTGCAAAGGATAAGCAGCCCCTACCTGCCAATCTTAGGGTATTTTCCAAACCCACCAGGTTCCCTTTCTCATCAGGAATCCAAAGCTGAAGGCCCACTGACTTCTAGTCCAGAAGTGCGGTGGATTATTCCTAATATATAATATATGATTGGATCTGTCTTGACAGCAGCCATGATGGCCTCCATTCATGCCACAATCCTGTATTCCTGGGGCTCTCAAGTGCAGAAGAAAGCCAACCAGCACCCCCGGCAGTTGGGGCCCCTTTCCACAGAACGCCACACCGTGTTCCTGATGTGACAGAGCCTCACCTTGGTTCCCAGGACCCATGTATTCAGAGGAGGAAGAGGAGGAAAAGGAAAAGAAAGGAAGGGAAAGAAGAAGGGGAAGGGGGAGGAGGAGGAGGAAGCAGAGGGAAGAGAGTAGCAGACCCCGGTGTTCTTACTTTTCTGGCAGTGATTTGTGGTCCAGCAGCGGTAGTTGTACTCGTTGTTGATGGTGGTCTTCTCACACACCGGCTTCTCCTCCATGGTCCCGGGACACAGGTCCCCACATTCCTTCGGGGACTTGTTCCCCACGATGTAGTTATTGGACACGGCATCCAGGATCAGGGACCAGTCCACCGTGGAGAGGTAACAGAGGTCAGCATTCTTCTCGATTCTGATAGCCCCCCGAGTAATGTTCCTCAGGTTGTACAGCCCAATGTCCTTGAGATTGGTCATCTCAAAGATGACCAGGGCGTAGTTGTAGAAGAGTTTCCAGCCACGGATGACCGTGAGGTTGGGGAAGAGGTCCCCGAGGCTCTCCAGGCCGGCCACGCGGAACAGCAGCAGGTACTCGGTGATGACGGTGAGCTTGGGGAAGCGGTAGCTGCGGTAGTCCTCGGCCTTGGAGATGAGCAGGATGTGGAGGTAGCCCTCGATCACTGTGCAGTTCTCCAGGCGCCTCAGCTGCTGGTAGTCATTGCGGATGTCGATGCCTGGTCCACAGACTGAGCGGGGGACAAGAGGGCAGAGGCAGGACATGTTTCAGTGCAAAGAAGGGAAGTCTTTTTTGTTTTCTTTTTTTTTTTTTGGGTAGGTCATGGGGCCTGAACTCTGGGCCTGGGCACTGTCCCTGCACTCTTCAGCTCAAGGCTAGCGCTCTACCACTTGAGCCACAGTGCCACTTCCGGTTTTCTAGTGGTTTACTGGAGATAAGAGTCTTACGGACTTTCCTGCCCGGGCTGGCTTTGAACCACGATCCTCAGATCTCAGCCTCCTGAGTAGCTAGGATGACAGGCATAAGCCACCTGCCCGGCTAGCAGGGAAGTCTTAAAACTAGTTCCCAACCCACAATGTGGTCAATTCATAGGGGGAAAATAATCTATGTTAAGGAAAGGAGATACAGTTCTCCACTGCAGACTATAGGCTGCAGACTGCAAGCTGTAGGCTGAATACCTGGCTGATGATCTGGCTACTTATAGTACCCTCATGAAGTGCCTACACCAAGCCAGATGCTGGCCAACACACTCCCTGACTGTGGCAGAGACCAGGTGCAAATGAAAGCCGAGAGCCCAAGGTATCATGAGGGTACAGGCAAAAAGATGAGGCTGCAACCCAGGCCAGCCCAGCTCCTCAGCTGAACAGAGCTCAGTTAGTCAAGATTCAACAACTTCCATCTGCACCACTAAGCCATCCTGTCTACACTGGAGGATAGTCACCATGACCAAGACAGTGGAGACTCAAAGCAGCCTGCTTTGAATCAAACATCTATAGGTCAGGTAGGAGGGTAAGTGTGGTCAGCAAGCATATGGACTAGGAAGTGCCTTGCGCAGATCACTGGTTCTCTGCGATTCTCAAATGCACATCAATGACAGGTACTCATCCAAGTGTACCCCTCTGCCTCCTCTACATCTATTTCCTTCCAACCCATACACTACCTCCCAAGTCTCCCTATCTTTTACTCAATGACTCTCTTATTCTCTGACTTGTTCATGTCGAAGATCGGCCATTCCTAATGCTCCTCTGAAAGGCACAAAGCTAGCAACTTAACCAGCAACACCTTTCTCTGGGCTCTATATCCCAAAGCCAGAGGGTTCTTGGATGCTTTTCTCAGTTACATCCCTATCTCCCTGTCTCGGGAACCCAGCTCAGACCTTTCTTTTCACTTTGTCAGTCCCACAATGGCAGGTCCAGGAAGATGGGGAAGGGAAGTTGTTTTTATTTCCCTCACAACTATGTCCTCAGGCCTAGTACTTGGTCCAAAGTTACTACATCGCAGAGCTGGTGTTGCATGAATGAAGTCCACCCAGCCAGTGTCTCTATCACTGTAACTCTGATCTGAACCCTGTGGTCTCCAGGGTGGTCTGCAGCCATACCTTCCCATGCCCAGCCTCCCCTGACTCCAGGGGAGTTCATCTCTTCCTACTGCTACTTAATCTAATGATGTTCTCCTTGCTTAATTAGCCAAACAGTCTCCATCTCCACCACACCAAGCTCCTTCCCTCTTCTCCCTTCCTTCTTCTCTCCACACACTGCCTTGATCTCTCCCTATGCAGATTTCAACTCAAATATCACTGCCTCACAGCTGTGCCCAAACATTCCCCCCCCCCCCGCAACTTCACGCTTCCTTCCCCCCCACACACACTGATTTTTCCATTTCAGGTCAGTAACTGCACATCCTGGAAGACTAAGGCTCCGAGTCTTCTCTGAGAGACAAGAAAAAAAACCTATTTCTTTCTTTCAGTGTCCTGCTTAAAAATTCTCATTCTCGATGTCACTATAGGTTGAGTACATTTATTTGTTTATCCAAGAGCATCTGAACTCAAATCTATTATTGTATTCAACACATGCTCAGTCACAAAGAATGAGGCTCCAATTTTATTTGCCATCATTTCCAATAAATCACAGAAATTCAGGACGCAGAGGAAAAGCATGAAGGCACAGAACCCAAGCCGGCTGGACTTCCACACTGCCACCAGACGCAGACGGCAGCGAAGAATCTGCTTCTCTCTGCCATCTGGCTCCTGTCCATGGCCAGCGAAGACCTCTGCAGGCGGAGGTGGACCTGGCTGCGCCTCCCAATGAAAAAGCCATCTCCACACTTCACACTTTCCTCCCCATTCATAGAACAAAAGGGGAAAAAAATAGGAAGAAACTACCCTTTCATTCCGGAAGAGAGGACAAACCCAAGCCACAAAGTACAAGGCAGGACCCAACAAACAGCCGTTTGGGATTCTGTGAATGACACTGTTGGTCTTTGGGGTGTTTTGTCACAGAAACAGAAAAAGAAAGAAAGGGAGAGAGAGAGAGAAAAAAAGGAACTCAAGCTGGACCATGAATGATAGCACAGTGTTCAGAATGCACCAGCCACAAACAGGAAGGAGAATGCAGCATGCTACATTCTGTTTGTTCTGGGAAAGAATGCATGCATTCAGAGAATAAATACTGGGCATAGAGTGTGAGATACGCCCTTTGCTACCACCCATTGATGGCTACGGAGACTTAACAAAACTCCATTCCTCCCTTTGCAAAGCAACCCACACGGGCAGGATCCACTTGAAGAAGATGAGATCTAGGATGGCTTAAGAAGAGAAGGGAAAGTTGGCGTTGATGAGGAAAGGCAGGAAGCAGGGAGAAGGGCTGTCACGGGGCGGGGGGATGACCTCGCTGCAGTGCCCTGAGCCACAGCAAAGCAGCAGGGGCCACCTGATGTACGTTGAAGGCTGGGGAGGGTCAGGCAGCCTGGTACCTGGGGCAGAACTCACTTTCCCAAAGACACCATTTTAAAACCAAACCTTTTACAACTGCAAAGGTCACTGAGAAAACACACACACACAAAGCAGTGGACCTAAATGTTTGTAAGAGTTATACTAGAAATGTAGTATTTTTATAACGTGTTCTGCAAGCCATGGAAGCTTGAGATCCTAGAAAAAGAAAATCGGTTGGCTCAGGGCTGCAGGGCAGAGGGCTTCATCTTTTTCAAGGGCAAGAAGGGCTGTTCCCACCTACTGTGCAGAAGAGGCCATGACAACCAGCTAAGTGGAATGTGTTACTGCCAACAGTCACAGGCTTGAGGCAGCATTACTGATCAACACACGTTAAAAAAAATGCCCCTCCACTTATAAAAACACCCTCTCTATTAATTTTGCTGCCAGTCTAAATATTACTAGCAAATATGGTGAATAGCAAAATCCTTCATTATCCTTCAACAACTCCCTTAGAGAGTATCATGCTATCCGTTTCATTAAAATGTTTTTTATTTTGATCAAGCCTTCTTCAAAATATGGGAGAGTATTAGCTTATGGCTGGAAATAAAAGCATTGAGAAGAAAAATTAGAACTCTCTTACTATAGGTCTATAGGCAAATAACGAAGGAAAATATATTAGCCAACCAAGCATCATCTCTGGTTCTGATGATAAAAGCCAACCTAAAAAAGCCTTGGAGTCTGTGTAAGAAATCTATTTGGTCTCAGCTGGTGGCTCTCTATAGCCGTTCATTACTTGTCTTAGAAATGAATTCATTGGAACAGATAACTTTATACACCAAAACTCTCACTAGATGCTATCTTTCTGCGGAAGTCAAAATGATTTAAAGGGTTAGGAGAGGATTAACCTGCTACAGGAGCAACCTCGTCTCCAGCAAGTAGCAAACTAGACACCATGAGATGACCCATAGTCAGGGCTGCGGGATCGTGAAAAGAGGGGCTCGTGACTTAATTCTAAGAAGGTCAGGAAGACTTTTCAGAGGGGGAAACCCCGGAAGATGAGCTGATGATTGGCGGGACCTTGCCATTTCTCTTCTTCTAGGACGCAAGCTTGAGTCTATCACAGAGGCTGGGCATCTAGACTCATCTTGGAGATGGCTGGAGCCCGCTTGACGCCCCCTGGGGAGGACTCTGGGGGTCATGGCCTGTGCAGCAGGGACCAGAGTAAACACAGCAGCAGAACTGAGGCTACAGAGCAGCCTGAGACAGGGAAGTGGCTCAGGAAGCCAACTTTACTTTGCACCTCGTAGGGCAGCATTCAACATCCCTATCATGCGCTGAGACCATGCTAAAAGCTCACAGAAACACCAAAATTTTGCTCCTGAGAAGTGCCCAGGTGATACCGCTCCTGCTGACCCAGGAGGCCCTTCCTGCACCCAGGGATGGGCCTGCGGGACCCACTGCATAGGAAAGAACTCACTGACTCCCCTCTCACATGCCTAGGGTGCAGTGCAGGTGCAGCCTATGATCAGGTGTTTGTCTGACCTGAACACAGCCAGAAAACCCTGAAGCAGCCCACGGGAACTGGACACACGGAACAGTGCAAGATAAAAGAAAACAGCACCAGAAAACCACATGGACCTCCCCAAGTGGCAGAGATTACAGGAGACCTTCGAAGTCTGGTAGAACCAAGCCAAGGGGGTGGGGAGGGTGGCGAGAGATTGCTTGGGAATAGAGATCTTATCTTGCAACTAACAACAACAAAAAAAAAAAAAAATCAGAGACTGGGAGATGGGGGAAGAGGGAGATAGTGTTATGATAACAAACACTACCAATTCTCCAGAGTTGGTTAGAGTAGAATTTTCTGTGTTAAGTATAAACAGACACAATTCATGGTAAGCTCTTTATCTGCGTGTGTCAATGAGAAGGTGTTTACATTGTATATGTACATTTCTGTTTTTCACACAGATGGCAGTCTGAGCCACCTGACACATCCAATAGTGAACGGGAATCACAGGAACTGAAGGAATTCCTATTATATAACAGGTGACTTTTGAGGGCAGAAATTAAAACCTAAGTGCCATCTGATTGTGCAAATTATTCTTTACTGCCTGGCAGCAGTAGTTCACACCTGTAATCCTAACTACTCAGAAGGCTGAGATCTGAGAATCACAGTTTGAAGCCAGCCCAGGCAGGAAAGTGTGAGATTCTTATCTCCAATTAAGCACCTAAAAATGGGAAGTGGAGCTGTGGCTCCAAGTGTTAGAGCATAACTCTGAACACACACACACAAAGCTCAGGGC